CCTGCCACGGGCGCATCAGCGCAGTAGTGTCCCGTTTTTCCTGCAGCCGGCGCCGTCGCCGTTTTTTGGCGCTGGCCGCGCAAGATGCGCAACAACTCTTGGGGTTCAGAGGTGAGTTGTTTCGTGGATGGGTCACGTAGCACCTCAATGCCACGAGGCTTATCGGCGTCCCGGTTAGCAATATCTCTGTGGCCCCACTTTGGCTGGCGGGCGTATTTCGCCCGCCACGCGGCGGCGGCGCGTTCCCAGCTCTGCAGTTTGTCCTTACGGAGCAAGGTGCGACGCTCCATCCTGATTGCGTGTAGACGTTGCTGGAGCGCCGTCATAACTGAGCTCATGGGTGTGGTGGGCATGGAGGTGGCCGGGGCAGTTTGCGAGTGCCCTGCGCTCTCGGCGTTGGGTTCGCCCGCTGGGGTTGGATGCGTTGCCGTTGGTGGTGTTAGCAGTTGCTCCCTCAGGGTGCGCATGGCCTCTTCCACATCTTGTGCGGTAGCGTTGCACAACATCCCTTTTCCTCCGTGTCCTCGGGCCGGCCCCTCTGCGGTGTTCTCTACGGGTCCGAGCTCGGCCTCCATCTCAGCTTGCAGGGCTGCAAGCACTGCTTGGGCGCAATGCCATATATCGGGTTGCGCATGTAGTCGGCGCCGACCCACCTTGTACAAGCATGTGAGTTTGTCTAATTGCCGTAATTTTTTGCTGGCCTGCCTCCTAAGGTAGTGGCGGTCAGTGGTGGTGCGAGTAGCACAGCTCTGACGGGCAGTATCAAGAGCTTGTGCTAGGAGATCGTGTAGCTGATTGGCCAATTCCTCCACGGCCGTGGGTGGGACCCCCAAGTGTAGGGCCTTGGCCTGAAGGGTAGCGGCGTAGTCTTCAGGTACGTTGGTCGTTGCCATCGTCATTGCATGTTCATTCATTCATTCATTCATTCATTCATTCATTCATTCATTCATTCATTCATTCATTCATTCATTCATTCATTCAGCACACAGACCGGCCGCCTCTTGCTCGAGGGCGGCCCACTTTGGCCTGGGCAGCCCGGGCCGCCCTCCCCCCCGGGCGCATGTTCGGTGTTGGAGGGGTGTGCCCAGCGATAGGGGGCCCCTGAAGGCATGCGCCGAGGCCGGGAAGCGTGGTTCGGCGCTGCTGCACGCTTGGCGATTTGAACAGAACCACGTGCCGCCGAGCTGCGGCCGCAGTTTCCGGCCCACGGTCTACGGTCGCAGCCACGGGACTCGGCGGCACGGCGTTTGGGCCCAAGCTTGCTGCCGCCGCCGCCGCCGTGCCCGGGGGGCAGCGCGGCGGCGGCGGCACGCTGCGACGCCCCCGTGCTGCCGAGCTGCGGCCGTAGTTTCCTGCCAGAAGGCCACAGCCACGGGACTCGGCGGCACGGCGTTTGGGTCCACGGCTTGCTGCCGCTGCCGCCGCCGCAGGGGTGCTGCCTGCGGCGGCGGCGGCAGCGCACGTGGCAACCCCCCGCGTTTCCTTGCCTCCCATCCACCGGACCCCGTCCTGCGCTTCACTTTGTTTAGGGAGGGGCTGCTCACTGCTCATTGCTCATTGCTCATCGCACACTGC